TTCCACCCATATTTATAGGTGAGCTTAGGTAGACTTTTTGATTATTTGACTTGATCTTGGATCTTCATTTCATTTAATTGCCACCCTTGATTTTACTTTTAATCCTAGCCCTTCATTTGTTTGAATCCTAACCTTTCATTTTTCTTTAAATCTCATCCATCCATCTTAACCATTCATTATGTCCATAAGTTAAAGTTAATTAATGAACCTTAATCATTAAGGGTTAGAGGTGGCAAAACGGGAGGAAAATCTATCCCAAAAATGTTTTAATTTAGTCCTTCAATTCCTTATTTTATCCAATTTTTACTCCTACTTTTAGTCATTTCCTTTTTAATTGACTACTTCTTGGTCCTTCTTTCAATACTTTATAAGAAATTTTTACCTCCTCAAGTTCATTTATAATTTTATTTAAAATTTTAAACTTTTAATTCTATACAATTGGGTCCCTAATTCTATACAATTAGGTCCTTATGTGTGCATAATTTATTCCACACCTTTTCAAAAATTAATTTCTTTTTATCATAAATTCCAAAAATTTCTATAGTAATTTATTCATCATTCACATAATTTTTAAGCAAATATTTATGCACTCAAATTAATAATTTTGCATAAAAATGCACTTATTCATATAGAAAATAATCCTAGCACCAAAAAAATTCACTTAAGGTCATGGAATATTCCTACGCCTCTCTAACAGTTTTTCTATGCTCAAAGAAAAATTTTCATAGACATTTAAAACCCTCAAAACTCGTTGATTTGCATAAAAAGTGCTATTCATGCACCAAAAACCAAATAAAATATTGATCGAGCATAAAAAAATTCACCCAAATGCATAAAATATTATAGCATCCGTCAAACAACTATTCTATGCTCAAAAAATAATTTTCACATTCATTTAATATATATTAATTCATTTATTCTTACGTTCGGGTTGTTACAGACTTCTCCCTCCTTGAAAAAAATTTCGTCCTCAAAATTTCTAATTAAATAACTCTAGATATCCGATCCGTATTTCTATTTTCCTTTCTCACGTCGCTTCCTCAATATTATGATTCCTTTATAATATTTTTACTAAAGGAATGTTTATGTTCCATAACGAGTTTGACCTCTCGGTCCAACACTTGTATTGGTCATTCTTCGTAACTCAAGTTGGGTTGGAAGCCTATGAACGATATGCGGAATAAAATAAATATTTTCCTCCATCTAAGGCTCCCCAAGATCAAGTCGTTGAATCAACTAATCATACATATATGAATTAAAGTATAAGTAAAGGATTACCTCTTATAATGTAAATTTTAACCTTTGCGTAAAAGGAACCGTCCAAGTATCCGACCACACAGATCCAAACACGCATACAAGAAGCACTCGAAGTTGTAGAGTGCTAGCTCCACTTTTTTCTAACTTATTTAATGTTTCCTTTTTAAAAATCTATTTAAAGATGTTTTGCGATAACCCTAAGAAAGAGGAAGAGAGGTGGCATGTGCATGGGAGGAAAAAAAACTATTTTTTTTCTCATTTTACTATTTGGGTTGAATGGTCCTCCAAGAATAGGCCAAAAAATTTTCATTTTTCTTGCTTAATTTCATGCCCAATTAACATTTTTCAACTTCAATTTCATCAATTTCACCTTTAATTTCATTTTTTCCAATTTAACCTAATTAAGAACCCTAATCCTAATTCATTAAATTACCCTAATTAAACATAAATTAATTGGATAAAATTAACAATTAACATCAATTAACATACTCTTGTGATGTAGGTGAGATTAACTTACCTCTAGAGCTCCAAATTAGTCTTTAATTTGTTGAATTCCCTTTAAATTTTTCTTCCTTTTTTCTCTCCAAACTTTCAGCCAAGACCTAATTTCCTCCTCCTTGGAAATTTTGCTCCTCCACCTAAAATTCTAAGCTGAATGAAGTGTTTTAGGGTGCTTGTAAAGCTCCAAATTAGTCTTTAATTTGTTGAATTCCCTTGAAATTTTCTTCCTCTTTTTCTCTCCAAACTTTCAACCAAGACCTAATTTCCTCCTCCTTGGAAATTTTATTCCTCCACCTAAAATTCTAAGCTTAATGAAGTGTTTTAGGGTGATTTAAAGTGTTTAGGTGAAACTTTTGGTGATTTCCTATGGAAAATTTGCAAGGGTTGGCCTTAGGTTTTTCAATTTTCCAACTATTTTCCTCCCATCTTTTCCACCCATATTTATAGGTGAGCTTAGGTAGAATTTTTTATTATTTGACTTGATCTTGACCCTTCATTTGGTTTAATCTCCACCCTTGATTTTACTTTTAATCCTATACTTTCATTTGTTTTAGTCATAACCTTTCATTTTTCTATAAATCTCATCCATCCATCTAACTCTATCTTAACCATCCATTATGTCCATAAGTCAAAGTTAATTAATGACCCTTAATCATTAAGGGTTAGAGGTGACAAAATAGGAGGAAAATCTATCCCAAAAATGTTTTATTTTAGTCTCTCAATTCCTTATTTTATCCAATTATTACTCCTACTTCTAGTCCTTCCCTTTTTAACTTACTTCTTGGTCCTTCTTTCAAGCCTTTATAAGAACTTTTTTCCTTCTCAAGTTCAAGTATAATTTTATTTAAAAATTTAAATTTTTAATTTTATGCAATTGGATCCTTAATTCTATATAATTAGATCCCTATGTATGCATAATTTATTCCACACTTTTTTGAAAATTAATTTCTTTCCATAATAAATTCAAAAACTTTTTATAGTAATTTATTCATCATTCACATAATTTTTATACATATATTTAAGCACTCAAATTAATTATTGTGCATAAAAATGCACTTATTCATACGGAAAATATTCCTTAAACACAAAAAAAAAAAAAAATTAAAAAAAAAATCACTTAAGTGCATGGAATATTCTTACACCTCTCTAACAATTTTTCTATACTCATAGAATAATTTTCATAGACATTTAAAACACTCAAAATAATTAATTTACATAAAAAGTAATATTCATACATCGAAAAGCCAGCTAAAATAATCACCGAGTATAGGAAAATTCACCCAAAGACATAGAATATTCTAGCACCTTTCAAAAAAATTATTCTATACACACAAAATAATTTTCACATTCATTTAATATATATTAGTTCATTTATTCTTAGGTTCAGGTTGTTACATACTACCTCTTTGGTTGGTTGTTTGTCATCCGATTTTGGTTGGTTGTCTTGCTGTTTGCTTTCTTCGATCTAGTCCATTCATGTCACATGTTCTTTGTTTTAGTTTGACGGTTTCCTATTGTATTTATATAAGCATTCAAGTTGTGTATTTGGTGTCCTTATTTTTTTTGCGTTATTATCTATTTAATTTGTCTTTCGGTGGTTTTGTGTTGCTACTTTTGTATCCTCCCAGGGCTTTTTATTTCTCCATTGGTAGTTCTTTTTATTGTAATTTGCTTCCTTGGTTGCCACATTTAATGCCCAACATTAATTCTTTCTGATATTCCTTTAAAGTTTTCGTACTTTTTTGTTCCTTTAGACTCATTTTAAATGTACATTCTACTGTTCATAATCCTTTTGTTTTTCCCTTTGTTCTGTTGCTTTCTTTTTTCCTCTCAGCCATTTGATCATTATTTTTCTTCTTGATTGTTTGATTTCATAGCTTCTTTATTACCTCTCAGCCGTTTGATCTTGATTTTTTCAAGTCATTTCACTCATATATATATATATATATATATATATATATATATATATATATATATATGAGCATCCTTATCCCTAAAAAAAGATAGTTAAAATAAAAGTGACTTTTTTTGTTGCTATCTTTTATTAGCAAATTTTATAGTGTTAAGGACAATTCTGTCTTACACTTTCTTAATGATGGTGAATATACATATTATCATAGCTCCTCAAAATGGTGAACCAAAAAATAGGAAGTGAAAAATGTTATTTTGTGAAAAAATTAAATTAAATTTTATTTTTTATTTTTTATTTAATATATTTTAATCGATTGATATCATAACACATATTATCAAATTAAAATAAATATTTTTAGTTTGATCCACAGCGTAACGTAAAAATCCAACTAATAAAAAATAGGATTAACATCATGTGTCCAATTACTCATGGACCAAATGACATAAGAGTGCCAAATGATTTTGAGTAGACTGCTATGGCACACCCTCAAGTAACCCAACAATTTAGTTCGCATGTAACATTTTAATCGAGTAAATTATAACTAGAGTTTTTAGCTTTGGGAAATAAATTAAATAATCTTTCTAGTTTTAAAAAAAAATAATAATTAATTAATTTTTCATCCATTCCATTTTTTCCCAATTTATTTTTTAAAAAATAGAAAAAGTAAAATAAATAAATAAATATTATGGAATTATTGATAAGAAAAAAAGAAGAAGATATTTTTTAATATAAATTTATATTAAAATAAGCATAATAAATACTAATGAAAAAACTAATTGTTTGGTTTTGAAAATCAGAGAGATTATTTAATTCGTTGCTAAACTAGCAGAAGAACTCATTTATAGTTTACTTCATTTTTACAATAACCAATTTTTTTTCTTTCTAACCAAAACAAAAAGATAAATGCGAACATAGAAGAGGAAGACAATATGCAAGCTTGAATATAGTACGAAAGAGGAAGATCTAAGAAGAGAGGAAGCCCTCTGCGTTGTAAAAAAGAAAATAAAAAAAAATAAAAAACAAAAAAACAAAAGAGGGAGAAAAGAAGAGAAGCAGAAACCAGCTGAGCTCCAATTCTATCCATCTACTGTCCAAAAACTACAAGCTGGTTCCTATAAAACCAAGTAATTAAAAAGAAGAAAAAACAAAAACCAGTAAGTTAACCTAACAAAACCAAAAAGGTTGTTAGGGTTTTAAATGTCCAGGAGATTTTCCGGGGACCTGTCCACTAAAGCAATCCCTCTGGTAAAAATCTCACCCGACCGCTAGGGTAGTTCCAATTTTAATTCACGTACAAAACTTTTTAATTACTTTTTACCATATACATCATCTATGCCTGATTCACCAGATCCTTTGTGTCTATAAAAGTCCCATGAAAACCGTACGGCACCCTGGATGGCAGTTTAATTGAAGCTTCTAACTGTAAATTGATGGCATTCACTATCTGAAGCTCTGATTTCCATGTCTTCTCATCGTGAACAAAAGTAAGAATGTAACCATCATCTTCTGTTTCGGAATTTGGATTTGTTGGCAAGAAAAATGGCTCGCCACCATATCTTTTATTACCATACATGTACTTTTTTACCCCCCAGTGAAAAGATCGACCTTGGCAAAACCAGAAACCTTGGGCCAAGGTTCGGCAATGGCTAGGTAAGCGTATTGTGTCTTTCTCCCAAGACGATTCCGGTTCACCATCCCTGCCTCTAAATTAACATGATTTGATGATTCCTGAATAATGGGGCGGCGAGTGGACTTACCTGTCTTTAAATTCAGCCTGATTTCTGATAATACACTCTTTAAATTCTCGTCGCATTCGTTGAAAATGGAGTCCGGTGGAGTCATGCAAGACCCAATAACCACCGCTTCATTGGATTCCGGCTCTTCCCATGCATTCCATAAATGGAAGCAGAAAGTATCCGGAGATTCCACCCAAATTATGTCCTTGGCATCACTAGCATTCTTGCTAAGAATTCCAAACCGGGACTTCTTGTTCTTATCGTAAATTACAGGAGAGCCACCTCTTATCAATTCTTGCAGCTTGAACACGACCTGTTGGTCAGGGATCACAACGAAATTCTCGGTGATAGCAAAATCATGAATCATGGTTGGCGATGGTAGAGGAATATCAACGTCTGGGGATTTTTGGCCGTCAGGAGAGAAGCGGAAGTACTTTAGATACGGCTTTCGAACAACGTCGTAGCTCAAAGCAAAGAGCTCTTTAGAAACTGGATCGATCTTTGGGTGTGCAATCATAGTGTGCTTAAGTTGGCCATTGAAATTGTATCTTCCAACAGTTTGAAGATCACCGCAAGGAGTGATACGTACTTGGTAAGGAAGATCATCCTCAGACATAGCTAGAAGCCTGTCATTGAAGTAGACTAAGCCTGCGTTTGCCACTCCAGTTCCTTTTGTATGATCAAGAAGCCCACATAGTCCTCTAGCATAGAATAGGAGCAATCTTGCAATACCAGAGTGACCATGTAGCTCCCCAATTGCTTTAGGAAACACTGGCCGACCGAGTACTCTTTCTTGTTTTAGCCTTTCTGTTTCAGTGAAACGGCAAGCGTAGCTTGCACTGCCCTTCTCAATTTTCACAGAGTGGACCATGCCGTCTCCATCGAAGAAGTGGTGGCCGGCGACGGGGTCAAGAAGAGGGTTTGCTCCGTTCCGGACATATATGCCATCAATGCATTCGGGGATTGCTCCCATGACCGGGAGTGATCGCCGGACTTTCTGCTCCGACACTGGAGAGAAGTTTCCGGCAATTTGGATGCGTGGGTCTGCTGTTTTGGGAAGTAGGTTTTGGCGCTCGTTTGAGACCAAGGCAGCTTCTGCCATTTCTAAGGCTGTGGCTGCAGCTTTTTGAAGGAAATTCCAGCGTGGTTGGTGACAATGGGTTTTGGGATTTAGAGTTACATTGGAATCTTCGTTGGAAATTACTGGTTGTTTGGGGAAATGGAGAATTGAAGGAGAGTGTAGAACAGAGTAAATTTTCGTTTTATTACTAGTGGGCTTGTTCTTGTTGAAAGAGATGGAGCCCAAATCCATTAGTGAAGGGGAGAGAGGATAAGGAATACGTGTTGTGGCCCAACTACCAGAGTTGGGAGCTCTAGAAGAAGCAGCCATACGCTGTATGTTTTTGTAGGTTTTCTCAAATTGAAGCCAAGAGACAGAGTCTTGATTTCCGTTTCTTTTGAGAAACAGAGAGGAGAGGAGAAAGGTCGGGAGGGGAGTGATGTGCTTTGGAGAGCAAAATGGGGGTATAAATACAATTGGGAATTGAAGCGAAAGAGGGTTTTGCTTCAATGGAGGCCCACCTCATAAAGGTAAGGGGCGAGAGAAAACGTGGTGGATTTGTAGAAGGGGCACTTGGAAATTGACATTAGAGCGTTTCCAAACTAATATCGAGGAAGAAGGTTTTAAAAAAAAAAAAAAGTTCCAAGGGTTTATGCACGCGTGGGTGGGGCAATCCAAAAAAAAAACAAAAATAGTAATAATTTGTTAGACAAATTTTAACTTGTCTCTTTGATATTTAAGGACTTTTTCAATTTCTTTACTAATATTTGGTTTGTTTATAAATAAATATATTCATTTATTCTTATATGATATTTAAAGTCTCATATCTATTTTTAAATTTTCAATTATATTTTATATATTTTTAAAATTATTTAAATATATATATATATATGGTTAAAATGTCATTGATTAAAAAAATCTAAATACTTTAAAAATAAAAAATATAGGTCATGTGACTTGAAGTGTTTTTTTCTCTCGTTTTAGTAAAAGGAATTTCTATCAAAAAATTTATTTATAATCAAAAAAATTAATCAAAAAGACAGATTGAATATTTTTTAAAAAAATTAAATATAGATGGGATGTAATTAAAAATCTAGAGATAGATGAAAGATTTTAAGTATTATATAAAGACAAATGATTATATTTATCTTTGTATTAATTATTCTCGTAAACTTTTATCAAAATTTCAATTCTTCCATACCTATATTAACCTAATATAACTAATGTTGTTGTATTTTTTATATTTCAATTGACTTTCTAAATTTTTTTAAAAATATCTAAATTAAAATGTATTTCTTAATCTATATATTTTTTTTCAATTAGAATTATATTTTCTTTTTCAATATCATATTTCTCAAATTTATAATTTTTTAACATATAAAAAAATATTGATAAAAATACAAAATCTTAAATTATAAATCTTGCATATTTTAATAACATCATAAGAATCTAATACAAGCTAACATAGCTTCTTGATAAAAGAAAAAAAAAAAAAGTTGACACGGTTTTGTATCATTTTTTTTATATATTTTAAAAAAAAACATGTGTTTATTATGTAAAACGTAATGTTTAATATTAATAATATTCGTACACTATATATATTTTTGTCCAAATCATAATTGAAATTTTCATATTAATCCTTTAAATAGCATAAAAATTTAAAAATTCTAAATAATATTTAATGAGATAGCATTTCATAATTGAAATAATACTATTAGTTTTTTTTCAAATTTTGATGAGACAAATTTTATGAATTTTAATATAATTTAAGGATAAATATTTGATTATGTCTTTTTTAATATTTTAGAAAGTTAATTGAAATATATAAAAATATCATATTATTAGTTATGTTAGTTTAATAAATGAAAAAGAAGAATTGAAACTTTGATAAAAATCCAAAAAGGTAACTGATACAAATGGAATTTCAAAAAACAAAAAATTGAGAAAATTTTCAAATTTGACCGGAACAAATTAAAATTTATCTTCACTTATTCAATATAGATGATTGTTATACATATCCCATCTAACACGAACTACATGTTACAAACATACGTCATATCCAAATTAATTAAGTTGCTATTAAATTTTTAAACCTATAATTGATACAAAAATAGACATCTTTGATTTTATACTACAGACACTAAAAACAACATCAATCCGAGGAATTGCTTAAGACAAAAATCATTCAAGGATAAGAAAAAGACAGAGAGAGAGATAGGTGATGGGCGTGTGAAGAGAAGTCAGTGGGAGAGAGAGAGAGGGAGAGAGAGGCCTAAGATTAGGAACCAATGAGAGTGAGAACTAGAGTCAGACACCCTTATAGGCAGATAAGAGCATAATAATAATAATGTCCAGGCTTTTTGGTTAAATTTTTAATTTAGGTTCCTCGTTGTTGCATCTTCTCCTTCATGGGCTTTGGTTCGGTCACGGTACCAATAATCCTACACACATATATGCCCAACCCACGTGGCCGTTTTCCACGAAATCCGAGTCACGTCATTTGCCCCACACGCTCTCGCTCACCCTCAAACACAAATAAAACCAGTCCCCCGCTCTCCCTCTCTTTCAGACAAAAGCATTCACATGATCTCAGCAATGGCACGACAAAAGTGGCTTGTTATCTGGCTTGTTATCTATAAGCATCCATGACCCCATTTGTCTGCGTCTACCACATTCCTGACACTCATTAGCGGTTTATATTGTTTTCTTGTTCTCTTATAATTTTTGGAAAAAGATGAGGTACTCGATAAATTTTGGCCTGCAGGGAGTAGTAGTATTTCCTATCCTTAAATCACAGTATTTTTCACTCCGGAAATATTTGCCTAATAAAAAATATCAGGCGCCCATTTGTTAAACCATCAACATCGATCACGTAAACTTATCGCTTGTACCCATATCACAATAAATGCTGCAGTACTGAATACTTGTGATACTATCAATTATGAAAATCACGTTTAGATTATCTTTACTAAGAATCATTTAGATATTTGAGGTCCCCGAGTCGACCATATAGATCTACGTACGCGAAAAAAGCGAATTCAATTGTAAATATTAATCGTAGCATTCATTCAAAATGAAAGATGACTGGCAATACGATTCGTAATCGGGATTATATAGAGCTAATTAATGGCACTGCCTTCCTTTGGATTTTGTGGGAATTCTGTTATGCCGCATCGTTGCGGTCCTATCATGCTAGCTAAACCAGACCCACCGGAGACATTGTCAAGGACCACCGGATAAAGAAAGTTAAAAAGGATGGCTAATGTATATCCTTTTCTTCAACTTTCTATCGGAAATATAAGCCATAGTTGTGGGCATCAAAACTTAATAATATGAGTAAGAGTCTGCTTAAGATCATATATGCTGCTGTCTAGCTTCTTCTTATGATAAGCAAAATTAGCCAGTTACCTTTTCTCTTTATTTTTTGTTGAACAATGTTCCTGGTGTGACAATTACTTACTTTTAAATTCATGCATTTTCAAGAGGTAGTTCAACCATTAAAATTAGATATTTCTATTTCAATATCTGAACAGATTCAAAATTTAGAAGGGATAAAATGAGAATTAAGAAAGAAGTATTACAGTCTAATATACATTTAACCTAAAAAAGAAAATAAAAAATAAAAAATAAATAAAAAATAAAAACCTCAATTTCGCTAAAATATCTTACTCTGTGCTAGGACAAGTGAAATCTATATGTCCTCATAAAGAAATTGAGAGAAAATAAAGATTTTTTTTAAGGTTTATTGTACTCTCAACTTTTAGAAGTTTTAATCAT